CATAAAAAATTCATGGACTTCGCCGAGGTCTTTCCTTGACTATATGAATGTTAGACTAAGAGACTGTTTGGGGTAGCTGCAGTTATTTGAAGAAGCAGCTGTTCAAAAAGCTTCGGTGACTATTAAAAATTTTTTTTTTTGTCAAACATAAAAAATGCACCCGAAATGCACCTTTAATGACATTAATTTATAAAATTCTACAAATTATTCCCATTTAATTTCCTTAAATGTTGTAATATATCTTGATTTAATGGAATTAATTTTGTCTATTAAACTTCCTTCTGAAACGGCATATTGCCATTGAAAATGAAGTAATTATATGAGAGCTTTATTACGATTCCTTGAACCTTATTCCTTGGTTTTTTAATTAATTCTGGCAGAACAGCAATTATAAGTACGAGAACATTTTAAAAGGGGGCAAATGAAGAATTTAGAGAAACGTCTCCGGTTCTCATCCTCATCTAGTGCAAGTAAATTTTCAAGTGTGCGTTGAAACATCGTTCCTTGAATGATATGTGGGTTGTAAGAATACTTAAAGTCTATCATTTATATTTGATTTGAAATATTATTAGATTGGGTGGGAGCAAAATTGAAAATTTACATTTTATTTTTGCTTTGAAGTGTATTATGAAACCTCTTTTGTATTTTAGATTATGATTTTTGTTTTCGAGGGTTTTTTACTTGCACACTAGGTGTAAGAAATTTAAAATTTTATGCATTTTGATTTGATGATTTATTAATCATGTCATAATCACAGATCCCCACTACGAAACCTCCAACTCTAGCGAGCAATCATCGGATCCCAATGTTGCCTAATTATTATAATTGTTGAATCCAAAAGGGCCCTGAAAACATACCCAAAGAAATAAAGCTTACAAGTTAAAAGGAAGAGAAAAAGAAAACAATAATGAACAGTAAAGAGTGTGTAACCCCTTTATTATGAAGACCTCCTATTTATAGATGTAGGGCATTGGTCTCCTCTCTTTATGCATTAGCGGTTCTTCTCGTGGGGAAGGATGTGCTTCCAGCTGAACCCGTTCCCTCTCGGGACTGGGGCTTCTCCCAAGGTTGCACCTACTCTGAGTAATTCCACAAACTGTATCTTATTGATGATCTGCGTCCTCAGGTTTTGCAGTCCCTGTTAGACAAATTCCTCCATGAATTCTTTAGTTCACCCTCCTTTCACTAAGTTTCTCTAAACTGGTCTCTTTTTATTGCTGTTGTTGTTGGGCTCATCTTCTTATTGACGACATCTCTCCATGCTCACTGCACCTAAAAGGTTGTTAAATCCAAAAGTGTCATGAAAACACACCCAAGAAATAGAGCGTACAAGGGAGAGAAAGGGGAAACAATACTGAACAGTAAAGATTGCATAACCCTTTTATTAACCCCTAATCATTAGCTATTTTGGAGGGGCATTTTAGTAAGTTACAAGAATATTGAATACAAAAAAAATCAGTTGACTCGTCTGGTTGGTGGGAACCTCATCGATTGTCTGTTCCACGTTCTCTCCATCGATACTTGATCCTGGGTAGAATCATCTAGCAATCAGTCCGCTAGAAACTGATCATTGTTCTGAAAGGCGAAGTCTTTTTATACGCTTCTCAACATCTGATCCGTCTGGTTCATTGATTTTATGCTTTTCCTCGTCAGAGTCTGATTCGTCAGTCGTTTGGTGACCGTATCTCGTTGATAGCTACAAACGATAAGTCATTCAATCGATCGCCCCTTTCTTGTGAATCGTCTGATTATCCTGGGATTTGTGCCAGCGTTTTTTTTTTAATACATAAATTGATATCATCTCCAGACAACTATTGTCTGGCCTTCACCATCAAAGCTTCACCATCTGTCCCTCGATCACCGTCTCTTTTCTAGAATTTTGGAGCGATTAGGTACATGATACCCAAAACATTATTATTTACAAAGCAAGCATCCTCTTTCATCCATTTTTCAAATTCTCGCTCAAATACCAAAGGTCGTGATAAGACCCTAACCCAAATTTTTCATTTTTATTAAACTCACAATGATTTGATCGTGACATGCATAAATACATTAGTTTTATTGTTCATACGAAAAACTAGATGCTTGATTTATAAATAATAATGTTTCTTGTGCTCGGTATGTAATTATCCCAAAATTTTCTTATGTTCTCACAGAAATTAAACCACTCACACATTTCTTGTAATATTATCTTCTTATATTCAAGAAACAAGCAAAATTTTACGTCTTATTCTTACATAATATTTTTATTGAGTTTTGCACGTAAACACTTCAATGTTTTTTCTTTCTTACTATTATTGTATCTATGTGTTTTTAATCTCCTCGCAATGCTAATATATTAACCTTTCACTCTATCACAATAAATTTTCTTACACACAAGTATACAAATTTCTTAGATATATATTATTAAAAATGACAACACACTTTAATCACCAAAGAGCCGTTTGGCCGAGTGAATTAGTGTACAGTAAATCTTTTAGAGGGATTTGAGAAATTGGTATGAAAATTTACAAATCCAATGTAAAATTTTAATGAATTTGAAATTTAAACAGTAATTCATTTTAGCTGAATCTAGAATTCGGCCGATTTGACCGAATTTGAATTACATCACTTATGTAAAATGTTATAGGCAAGTCGTCGCTGTCTGCAGCCGCTATCACCTCTGCCCACCCACCAGCTCGCCGTCGCCCGCTGACTACTGTCACTCTCCACCACCTACCACTGCTGCAGCCTGCCCATTGTCGCCGCTCACCGCCTCCCACTGCCGGCTGCCGCAAGTGTGAAAACTTTCTCAATCATAAATCTTACTTTCTTGCCATTTCTTAAAGCCCCATTGCTTTAACTACCTAAAAATAGAGTTGTAAGCACACATCCTCCAACTCAGATCTCAAATCATGTAAGTGCTAGGAATCAAGTACAACTCATTGTCCAAAATATAAGAATTAGGAATCTTAGTCTCCTTCACAATTGTTAGTCATATATATCAACACAACAAGAATGACATAAAGCTACAAGGATCTTATAAAAAATTTCATTTAAAATCATAAAACTCTATGATTTGCCTCACTTAAGGGAAAGTTCTCAAGAGTTGTGCACATGAATCTGACTTTAAGTCATTTTTTAATTTTAATTATATATAAAAAAAGCTCATATTTAAAGTTGTAATTAAAGCCTCTTTTTCACAAATAGAAAACTCCAAATCAAGCCAAATCCTTAGAATTAGATGCATATGGGACCAAATTCTTTACAGTTTTTTAGATTCATAAATCACATATCAACATGCAATCAAATTCAATATATAGTCTTGTAGGGACAAAATGTTTCAAGCCCTTATAAATCTACAAGTTACCAAATTTTGAAGCACCTTTTGTTCACAACTATCAATATCACAACTTTTCAATGTTAGAAGAGTATTAGGTTTTGTGAAATTTATCTTTTTCATCAACTTTATAAATTAAATCTCTCTAATCTTGGAATTAAAATTAATCAGTATTTAAAAATTTCATGATAATAATAAATAATTATAAGAAAAAGAGTAAAGAGAGAATGAATCATTAATATGGATCAAGAATGGTATATTTCAGCTGAGACTTCCTTTGAATCACACTTTCTAACATTAGCATATTCTATTAAAACATGTCAAAAGGACAATGGTTCATAATTATCCATGTCAACATTATGAAGTATAAAATTAGATTTTACGTATATAAATTGTCATTGTACTTTTAAAAGTAATATGTTGTATTACACCTCACTCTGTTTGCCACCTGACAAGGTTTTCAATAATTACAAAATTAAATAATTATATTCGATCGAAATATCGTGTCAAAGAATGAGTTATCTTTCTCTAGAAAAATCAAATGTCGCTTTCCACACATGAGACTGCCTTCCTTTACACGCAAAGCGAAAATCTCTTATACTCCCAAGCTTCTGCTTCAGATTTGTAGCCTCGCTACGTTTTTAGATAATTCTAATCCAATGACATATGATAAATGAGAGAGAGAGAGAGAGAGAGAGAGGAAATAGCGGATGTAGAAGCTGTGGACATCGACAACGATTGAGTGGAGAAAAAAAAAGACCTCCCGTTGATCGCAATGGTTAGCCGTAGGTGTGGCGTTTGCACCTAATAAGTATTTGTGTGAGAGAGAGAGACACGTTAGGTTAATTTCACCGTGGAAAAACTATAGCCAAAAAACAGGAGAAGCTTAATTTATAAAGACTAATTAGTTAGAATATTAGTTTCAATAAAAGCATGACCCTCTAACCGACACCACTATCATCTTCTCTTTTATCTCACAAAAGTAGTAGTTTCCTTTCCCTTTCATATGACATGGTGGTAGCTATGGGGGGAATTAGCTTTATTTCTTAAGCGGGCAAATTAAATCAGCAAATATATTTTTTAAATATTAGATAAAAAATATATAAAGGAAAAATTAAATTATTAAATTTCCTAAATTACATTTAAAAAAATTAAATTTTACTACTTATATAAAAAAAAAATCTCAAAATTCAGATTGGATAAGAATTTACTGTAGAATTAATAATCAGTTAATCCTATACTCAGTCAAGCTCGGATGCAGTACAATGGGTTAGGCGAAGCTGAGTCAAGATAAAGTTGATTCAAATTTTTATACATGATTTTAGTGGCTAAATCAAAATTTTAGAAGGTGACAAAATAAAAAAAATCAAATGTTGAAGAGTATTTGTATATAATTTTTACTTCTTAAAGTTTTATAAACAATTATAAAAATAATTATTAAATCAAATTATAATAAATAAATCATCATAAGAAAATTAAGTTAAGAAATTCAATTTTTGATAAATTAAATGATATTAATGAGTTTAACAGAAATTTAGGTTGATAAATACCTCCCCCAGCCACTTCCTGATTCCAACACCTTGTGGCCCTGCTCTAAATGACCTTAATTTAATCTCGAGCCATGCTTAAAACAACTCATTATCAGACCATTAGTTTTCCCATAATATTATTGTCATGTCCATTGACCTTGTGCTCAGCGTGGCGTTAGCCGTTAGGTGCAAGCCTAAAACCTGGCTGAGAAACATTATTCTATTTTATGCAGAAAGAGAAGGACGAATATATCTAAGTTCTTCTTCTGTGCAATGAATTATGAGGGCTGTCTTTTGTCCCATTAATAACATGTTGTACTAGAGCGTTTTTTCTTATTTAAGCATACGTCTGTTCCTCTGCAGGCATGAATTCAAGACAATAATAGCTGCCAGATTAGTTTTTCTACTCTGTTTCGAAGGAATCAGATGGACACTTCCAAGTCTGTGATAGAAGAGGAAGAAGCAGAAGAAGAAGAGGAGTGGAGCAACAATGATACCGGTTGGACTAAGTACTTCGAATCCCATGGGAATGAATGTGAATCTGCTCCGAGGTACATCAAAGAAGATGATGGTGGCGGTGAGATTATGGAGGATGATGATTCGTTGGCTTCCGATGCTTCTTCTGGGCCTGCATTTTTTGAGGATTTATATAACAGAAGAAGCGAGGACTGTGAGCTTTTTGATGATAAAGTAGAAGAAGGCCAAGGAAAACGAGAGCAAGAGAAGAACAGGTTCTGCAAGAAAGATAGAAAGATGGTGAAGGAGAAGGAAAAGAGAAGAAATTTCATCAAATGATGATTCTTCAAAGATGAAGAAAACATTGCGCACAATTCTATTTTGATTTCGTGATGCTGAGGTTAGCAGGACCAAGCTCTGTCTTTCTCTCTCTCTCTCTCTAACAAATTGCAGTTCGATGGAAGCAATTAATTTGTTTAGGGATTTCAGGGGATTTACAATATGTGAACTCTTGTTTGAATGCTATAGAATGGTGATAGAAGAAAGTTTTCATCATCTTCATAAATTTTATTGCTTTGTTAAATTACGCGTTGAGTGCGGCACCATGATAAGCCTGTTGTGATTCCTTCGATATGTGTATGCTGATGTGAGAAATTACAGGCGTATATCTTCATACAGGAAAATATATTGCTGAAGCATAAACAATTTGTAGCTTGTGATTTTGATCTCAAGGCAGCATTAAAATTTTGTTCGATCTCTCAAAGTCAAATATTTCGTTATTGAAATAGCAATAGAAATTCATAGCAATGGACATTTTGAGCTGCCGTCATTCAAATAAGTTAAGAACATGCCAATTTTGTGAGCAGCCCAATCATTGCTAAACATTCAGGATTTGTTTGGGATTGCTTTTATATTTAATTTTTCTATATTTTTTGTATTTATTTTAAAAATAAATTTGTTTATTTTTTTTTTTGGATTTATTTTTATTTTCAAAATACAAATTAACTTATTTTTAAAAAATACTTAAAAAATCTAAATATTATTTTATCGATTTTTTATTTAAAAAAATGAGCTAAAACATAACAATATTTTTTTTTTATTTTAAGCAAAAACATAGACAAAAAAATAAAACATTAAAAATCAAAAGTGATCTCAAATGACCCCTTAGGGTCTCTTTTGGGCAGTGCTGCGCATGACGCATCAGCTGCAAGAGGAAATTGTTGCAAATAAGCTGACTGTTTGTTTGTTTTTTGCAGTTTGAAAACAGTTGTGCTACAACTGTTTCTAGACAAATGATCATTATGCTCCTATATAGCGATGTTGCTTGCAACAGAAATATCATATCAATTTTTATTTTATATTTTAGAAGCAAAAATCCAGTGCAGAACATTACAAAAAAAGAGATATACTTAACAGTGAGTAACATTATTGCTAAAATTAAGAAAAAAATACTAAAATAACATTTAATAATATAATAATATTATTTTTAAAATGCAGACGGTGTATGTCACGAGCTAAGCCATCATTCAAGGATATTATCCATATCTGATCACTCTCGGCCGTGGAATCTTCCAGTCTGGTTGCCAAACAAAAAAGTCACTGTTTTTCTTGTTTCTCCATGGGCACATGTAAGACTATCTCCCATAGCTATGTGGCTAACATAAAGTTAGTAGAGAACATTGAAGTCCACAATGACAACACAATCCTCAATAGGTATCTTAAATCCTCGAACTCATCTTTCCTGAATTCATTAAAAGGCATGCCATTAGACATAGCAAAAGCAAAAAATGTTAAAAGAAGTAATTAATTATAGTTTTATACAGTTGTCAGATATTAGAGAACCCGGTATATCAATCAACGAATATGTCACTACAAGAAGACGACAGACCTTATAAAAAAATGGTTTTTGGTTAATTTTAACTCACGTAATATAAAACTCGTGTGTGTCATATATGTATATCACCAAAAAAGGCCATCCAAAATAACATCAAAACTGTATCATTGAAAAAAAAAGAGGAGATAGGTTGCTTCATTAGGATTTCACATGTGACACCAACCAAAACCGACAAATAGGTCATCCAGAAAAACTCATAAGGTCGAATGTCTCATCATAGACCTCTAAAACCCACTAAAAGAAGAATAAAAGAAATACAAATAGAAAAAAAACACTTACAAACTATGTAAAAAATCTAAACAATCAATATCAAATACACAAGGACGGAAATACTCATGAACTGCATAAAATACAAATACAATAAATATTGAATCTCTTCAACAACCATTACAATTAATAATATGTTGAATACTCAAATCACCCTTTTACTATTGCATCCGTAATTCGTTCCCTCAACTCTGTCATCTTACTTGCACCTTCCCCTCCTTTAGTACTGGTCTCGAGAACATCACTTTCAGCTTGTGACAAAGACTGTCCAAGACGATACTCATATGTCTCAGCAGAGACATGCTCATGATCCTCGTCCGCCCTAAGAAGTCGATGTAATTGCGGAAAGGATGACACCAAATGTTATTTTGGAGAGTCATTGCGGCTAGGGGTGTAAACGAACCGAACACGAACG